CAGCCTCCCCAGCCGCCCCAACTTCAAGCTCTGCCCTCCGAGGGCTCCCTCCCTGTGCCGGGTCTGCTCAGCACCTGCAGACAGAGAGCTGAGGCTGCACAGGCCTGGTGTTCCCTTCTTTTGGAGTCAGTCCTGCCGGACTCACAGCCACGTGCGGGCGCTTCCTCTGCTGTGCTCACCATGCAGTCGTCGGCTCAGCAGAGGAGGTTCCAGCCCCACTTCCTCACTCCTGAGAGGCCTTAGGCAGAAGTCACTGTGGAGTTTTAACCTTGAAATCCCAGTCATGCCTGGACGGCGAAGTCAGAGTGTTCTTGGGCCACCGAGCGATGAGGCAGGGTGGCCGTGGCCATGGGCCCCCAGGGGCCAGCCCTGCTCCCCGGGTGGAGGCCCGGAGGTGGTGACATGCTGGCTGTCGCTCCCTCTGCGCACAGTGCTGGACCCCGCGTTCTTCTCTGACAGGCTGTGCTCAGCGCCCCAGAGGGAGCGCACACCTGGGGTGTGACGGCAGGTGCGTCAGGGAAGCAGCAGCGGGAGGAGGCGGTGAGGGCGCTTGGGGTGGGGCTGTCTCTGGGGCTCTCCTCTCGTCCTTATCCCCGGTGGTGGGCGTTTAAAAGGGGCTGTGGGGAGCGGCCGCTGGGCCACGTGTCAGGTCAGTTCTTCATTGGCAGCCAGACCCAGTGGCTGTGTCCTGATCGTCCTTTTCCCAACGTTCCCACTGCTGCTGAGAGACTGTGTGACCACAGATCTGTCCTCTCATCCTGACGGCCCCGCCTAGCTGTTGGGGAGGGGTACATGGGCAACCATCCAGCTGGAGCCCTCTGTGTCCGCACCCGGAACCCCATCCACGAGGACTTAGAAGAGCAGCTGAGGGCCCTTCCCTCGGAGCTCACGAACTCTGCCCCGCGGCCTCGTGCGCCCATTTCCAGACAGAGGCTTGGCCGGCACCTCTGGGACCTCCTTTCCCTCATTTCTCTTTTCTTTGTTTTTTTCTTATTTTTTTCAGTTTTCATTCTAAATGTTTACACTGTTTTTACTTCTAATTCATCCTTGGAAACGAGAAACCACCAGAATAGGTATGGGCCTGTGTCTCGCTCTGGCGGTCATCCTGGGCCCTTGTCCTCGGAGGCTCTTCCTGGAACATTGATCGTGAGGCTGTCAACTCTGCTGGATCTGTGTCATTTCCCTCAGGAGTTCTCTCATTTCTGCACTACATCTGGAAGGACTCTCAAGCGATCTTCTAAATCACTAATTCAAATTTCAGCAACATCTATCCTGCTTTCCACCTGTTATAACTCTTTTAACACTGTGCGTGTTACACACAAGGGTCATTTCCTGATCGGGTCCTCTCAGGTCAGCCACGTTCTGGCCAGGGTCTCTCTGGGCTGCTCTCCCTGCGCTGGGCCTTCTGGGGGCAGAGGAGGCTGTCAGTGGCCAGAAGGTAGGCCTGTGCCTGCACGGAGCGGGCAGCCTGGTGGCCTGGCTTCCCCTGGGGAGATTGGCCCCACAGGACCACCAGGCTGCCCACTCCGTTTTGTGGTGGGGATGTCCATGATATGAGCGTTGTCCATGGTATGAGCATTGGTGGAGCGAGTGTATGGCCCAGACAGATCCCTCAGGGGTGGGGGCGTGCAGATGGCTTCTCCCAGAGCCCGGTCTCTGCAGGGGACACAGCCTCACAGGCCGAGAGGGCCATTCAGGTGGACAGTGGTGAGCAGAGGGCAGCTGGCCAGCGCCCATCAGCCATCTGTGGGTCTGAGTGTCCTGGCTCTGAGGGGCAGGTACGACTGGCCCAGCAGCCCGCGAGCCGGCACAGGAGGAGAGCCTCCTGGCTAGGCCAGAGGGCAGCCTCTGGAACATGCCTCCCTGAGGGCTGTGGGGACGAGGGCGGGAGCTGGTCACCCCCTCCATCCTGCCCTGGCTGTATCTTCACGGGAACCCGGGGTCGGATGTGCAGGTATTTTCCAGTGGGAGGGCTGCAGGGCGCCAGGGTCTCCTCAGCGGTGACCTGGGGCGGCCACAGGCACTGGAGCATGCTCTTGTCACCCCCAGGGCCCCAGACAGCTGCACCAAGATGGCCAGCCCTCCAGAGCGGTCTGTCCTTGTTCTTGGTCGCCACCTCCTTGCGGCCTCAGCTGCCGTACAGCTGAGCCTCAAAGAGAAAGGGGCTCCAGACGCAGCAGAGCAGCCACCCCCAAGGAAGCTGGCGAGACGTGACAAGCACTTATCAAGGGGTGTCAGAGCCACCAGGTGGCCGAGATCCCAGAGGGGGGCACAGAGAGGGAGCCGAGCGCCCGCGACGCTTCCCCTCGGTCACTTGCTGCTGCAGCTGGGAGTGCCTGAGGGGCAGGCGGAGAAATCAGAGGTCAGAGCCCACAAGGAGAAGGGACGGCAAGAGGACCCGCTCCAGTCCATCCTGGTCGAGCTCGGCCCAGGCCCACCACAAGGGGAGCGCAGGGCCCGGGCGTCCCACCACAACCCCCCAAAGGGCTCAGCCCCCAGCCCCGTGCCCTCCCCTCTGCACCACCCCAGCTGCCGGTACCGCAGTCCCAGCGGCAGACCAGGTGCCCGTTCCCAGGGCCCCAGGCCCAGTGGACTTCAGGGGGAAGCCCACGCCCCCAAGAAGCTCCAGCGGCTCGGAACCAGAGGCCTGGGGACTGACAGCCGAGAGGAGCTGGCGGGAGAGAGACTGCCGGGCGGGTGTGGGCTGGGCCGTTGCTGGCACAGCGGTTTGTTAACATCGTAGACAGTGAAGAATAAGAAATAGTTATTTTTGGGCTCAGAATCAGGAAAACTAGTTTTCCAAATTAATCCAGGGAGAGCCATGAATCCGCGACATCTCATGTCACACGTCGTAAAACTCTGTCGTACTCCACAGAACTGACACGCCCCTTGGCAGCCCGGCCCTCATCGGGCCGGCGTCTGTGACCTCGCATTCCTCCCCATCACCGGGATCAAGGCCCGGCTTTAGTTAAAATTCAGGAATTTAGGGCTGAGGTGTCACCTGTGTTTTGCTCAGCTGAGGCGGGTCCGCTCACCGAGACCTGGGGCTGGGCCACACAGAGATGCCGCATCCCTGCCCACTGTCCGAGAGGACATGCCGGGGAGTGCCGCTGGCCCAGGAGCCAAGAGGTGGGGCCCCCCGTCCATGTGTCTGTCATCGAGACTCCCCATGTGCTCTGACCGTCTGCCCACCAGCCCTTGGGCTGTGAGGCCGCAGCATCCTCCTCATGTTCATCTGCACGACAGCACAACTGGTCGTCTGCTCTCGGGGCAGACCTCCTGTCGGGTCCCGCACCGTGGCCAGCTCTGCATGTCCGGTGACGATTGCTCGCTAAGGTCTTATTTCTTCTAGAAATGTGTCCGTCTGGGGAGGTGTGCAGATATACTTACACGTTGAACTTCATGAAGTTCTCTTTATTCCCCCGTCTCTGTGGCGATTTTCCCGTTTTCCTGGTGGACTGTTTACGTGTCGTTTCCTCTCATTCTCAAAGTCTCTCCTGAAGTGTCCATCTGGCCGCTATTCTCAGGTGCCCAGCTACCGGCTGGAATCACTGTCCCCCGTCTCCCTCCGGCTGACCCTCGGCTCCTGCTGTCCTGTTTCCTCTTTCCTGAGGCAGCTCTTGTCCCCATAAACACCTGAACTGTGCCTGCCGTGGCCCCGCGTGACCGCGCCCCAGGTCACCCCAGACCTCCTGACCCTTCCCGCCGCCCCGCGCTCTCGAGAGTCTTACCTCCCCCTCGTCTGAAAGGCGCAGCTGCTCTTTCCAGGACCCCTGCTCCTCGGCTGCTGGCCAGCAGCCCGAGTCCCTTGTGCGGTGACCCTTGTGGGAAACACCCTATGGGTCACCTACTTAGCACCAAGTCCCTAGCAGTGAGCCCAGCAGGTCTGGGACGTGGGGCAGGCCCCAGCCTCTCTCATCATGGTTTTGGGATTTTTCCCGCATGCCGGTTTGTCAAGAGGCATGTTTGGGTTTCCTGGACCCTGCATCGTCCAGGCTCACCCCAGCCCCTGCACTGGAACCAGCTGGGGCCATTCAAGGCCTCTGAGGAGGGGCAGTGACTGGCCTCGTGGGCAGGCGCCCCGCAGACAGCCCTGGGCTAGCCCCATCCTTGTGGCCGCTATCAAAGTTCAGGAAGATGGGCTCCATATACTCAACGTCCAAGGGAAGGTGGGCTGCACAGACCACCAAGGACCACCACACCCGTCCCCACAGATGCCCAGGCCCAAGGGGCGGCCTTGGGTGTGGTCACTTGGGTGTGGAGGACAGGGCGGCAGGCAGACAGACAGATGCATGACAGACAGCTTCCCCCAACCCTAATCCAGGAGAGCGGTGGGAGCCTGTCCACCCCCCACGTGACTCGGGCACGGTCCTCAACATCCAGGGGCCAGAGGTCCCCAGGCGCCCCATCTTCTAGTGGCAGAGCCCCTCCCCGTGCAGGCACCCGCCGCAGGGTCTGTCCATGAGGCTGCCCTGGGCCTACACTGATTAACAGTCACCACGGCAATTGCCACAAACACAAAATGGCATCAGACAACACATTTCTCATCTCACGGTTCTGTGGGTCAGAAATCTGGGCAGCCTTGGCTGCGGCCTCCAAGTGGGGACTCAGGCTGGAAATGACGTGTGGGCAGGCTAGGTCCTCACCAGAGGCTCTGGGAAGAATCTGCCTCCGAGATCATTTAGGGTGAGGATGTCCTTGGGGCTGGTCTGAGAGAGGCTGGGCCTGCAGCCTGGGAGGGGCATGGGGCCTGGACCACATGCATCAGCATGAGCATCCCGCGTGTGCTCCTGGGAAGGGACAGGACACCTTGGCCCGGTGCCTCTGGGTGTGGAATCTGGGCGTCGCTGCCAAGTTGCTCAGTCCTCCTGGAGCAAGTGAAATGCGGGCAGCTGGAGGGGGTCAGGCTGCCACCGCACAAGTGCCCCGAGCCACGGTGTCCTGGGCAGGGTCTGCCACAAGCAGCGGTCCTTGGTTCTCTTGCTGCCTGTCCCCTCCAGGTGGTCCTCATCATCAGCGGGAACCTGAGCTTCCTGAACTGGCTGACCATCGTGCCCAGCATCGCCTGCTTCGATGACGCCACCTTGGGGTTCCTGTTTCGCTCTGGGCCTCGTGGCCTCAAGGACCGAGTCCTGAAGATGCAGAAGGAGGAAGCCCAAGGGGCCCGGCCCACGCTGAGATACGGTGGGTGGATACCTGAAGGCGGGACGTGGCTCGGGCAACCCAGCCAGTCTCCCTGTCCTGTCGACACTGGTGTTGACAGCACCCAGCTCTCCTCCTGCCAGCCCGGCAGCGCTCAGAGACAGGACAGCATCTCGCACTGAGCGTGACTCAGTCCCATCTGCTCCATGCGGACCTCACGTCCTGGTCCCTGGGAACTGAGGCATGGTGACCTCAGGACGCTGCTCCATCCCCAGGACCTGGACAGCTGGCCCATGGAGGTGCTGGCACATCCTTAGCAAGAGATAGCCAGGCCCACCTTAAGAGGGCAGTTGTCGTGCCTCAGTTTCCACAGCAGCCTTGGCTTGGGGAGAGGGGGTTGCGGGCAGGCGCCCCTTCCCAGACTCCGGACAGGGATCCAGCAGCCCCCCCTTGGCTTCCTTGAATCTGGGGGGCCGGCCCAGGCGCCTGCCTGTGGTCGAGGGCCAGGCCTGGGGGCTCACCCCCTGCCTCTCCCCCTCCGGCTAGGCTGCATGGTGCGGCAGGTGGTCAACCTCGCGCTGGGCATCCTGGTCGCCTGGCTCAGCGTCCCTGTGGTCCTCAACTTGCTGAGCCCCACGCAGGTCATGAACAGCTCCTTCAACCCCCTCAGAATCGTCAACACATACGGGGCCTTTGGAAGGTAACGCGCCGAGGGTTCTCACCTCACCCCGTCCACCCTGCGGCCATGCGGGTCCCAAGACCTCTGAGAGAGACTGGGCTTGACCAGCCAGGCGGGCGATTTCCATTCAGGGTGGGGTCACAAGGTCTGCTCTCTGTCCCCTGGGGCCACCATGACCCTGTCCGGGAGGCGTGCAGTATGAGGGGAGGCCGGCCCCCCCCGCTCCTCCTCCACCTGCAGCTGCAGCCCCCAACCTCGCCCTGGTCTGCTGGGGCCGGAGGGGACTGGGGTGGACAGGAGCAGTGTCTGCCCTGACTCAGTCTCTCTGGCAGCATCACCAAGGAGCGCACGGAGGTCATCCTGCAGGGCACGGCCAGCCCCAACGCTAGCGCAACGGACGCTGTGTGGGAGGAGTACGAGTTCAAGTGCAAGCCGGGCGCCCTGAGGAGGCGGCCGTGCCTCATCTCCCCCTACCACCACCGCCTTGACTGGCTCATGTGGTTCGCCGCCTTCCAGGTAGGCCCTCCCTTCCCCTCGGCCGCGTCCCAGGTGTTCTCAGTGGGCAGTGGACGGCAGGCTTCGGTCACTCCGGTGTCCTTGAGGCTGCAGTGGCCTCGTGGGAACACCCGGGCCCTGGAAACGCCCACCGGGGGGCTGGTGGGGAGACAGGTGGGGGTGAGGTGAGACCCCACGGAGGTGACATCGGAGCCCACAGCACACGCAGGCTGCGGGCACCTATACAGCCCGCCGACCTGCCTCACAGGGCCCCCGCGGCCTCGCTGACGCGGGAGATCAGGCTGAGGCACCGGTGTTGAGCGTCGACTGCGGAGAATCTTCCTGGGTTCCCCACATGCCAGCCGAGACCCAGGGCCTGGATCCAAGGCTGGGCAGTGGCGTGTGGCGACCTTCCAGGTTCCCGCCCGAGGCCAGACTCCCTTAGGGTCTTTCCCTGTGCGTCCACCACGCACACGGGCTCCGCCCTCTGGACAGCAGTGGTTACCACAGGCAGGTGTGCCCATGTTGCTCAGACCCTGGCTGCATCCCAGGGGCCTCTCGCAGATACCCTCACGCAAGCATCTCTGGGTGCCAAGGGCTGGGGTGCCACAGCCAGCTTCTCAAGGCACTGGCACCAGAGATGACAAGACAGGTGTGGCTGTCACCTGGGCAGCCAGCATCACAGAGCGTTTCCTTGAGCCAGAGTGAGCCTGGGGGCTCCTCTTCCTCCCACTGGCCGTGCAGGACTGTCACTGTCCCATCTTGCCCATATGGACAGTCTCAGGAAGGCCTTGTCACTCACCCAAGAGCCCAGGGCAGGCAGGTGACAAAGCTGAGGGGAGAGCTGGGACAGCCAGGCCCAGCGCCTGCTCTATCCGAGTCACCCGAGGACAGGACAGCACAGCTGGGGGTGCCCAGGCAAGCCAGTGAGCAGGGCCGGGGGCCCGCCACCCAGTCCACAGGTGTCTGGCCAACAAGCAAGAAGGGGAAGCAGCGGCCCCTCTGGAGAGGAACCTGAACCAAGGAAATGGGGGTGGGCCCAGGGCAGCCCACCATCCAGGGAGGCCAGCCTCAACCACACTGCAGTCAGCTGCACCCAGGCTGACAGACTGATGGCTGGAGTGGCCGGGCAGGGCTGTCGGGAGGGAGGGAGCAGAGGGCACCCTGAGGGCCCTTGCGGGCCTTGTCCAGAGGGCTCTCCGAGTGCCCGGCTGTCTCCGTGCCCTGAGCCGCAGCCTGAGTGCCCATCCTCTGGTCACCCCCAGACCTACGAGCACAACGAGTGGGTCATCCACCTGGCAGGCAAGCTTCTGGCCAACGACGCCCAGGCCCTGGCCCTGCTGGCCCTCAACCCTTTTGCAGGCAGGGCCCCCCCCAGGTAAGACTCCCCTCACAGACAGGACCTCACCACCTTGGCCTTAGCTGCCTCCCAGGGCTTCCCCCGCAGAGGCAGGAGCCAGCCCCACGCCCTTTCAACAGCTCCACGCACGTGCTGAGGGGACACAGGGGAGGGGTCTTCTAGGGAAGGGATGGGGACCTGGGGGGTGCTCTGGACACCTTCCGGTGAGCCTTCCTTGGTCACGGCGCGGTCCCTGCAGCATCTTCTCTTCTGGAGCCATGCCTGCCCCCGCCATCATCTGGTCAGGCGCCTGGGTGTGATGGGGACCCCATGTGGGCCCTTCTGGCTTGCCCTGGGCAGCCTCTCCCTCTGAGGGGGCCCTGGCCCCTCTGAGAAGCCCCAGCTCCAGGCAGAGACGGGCTGCCCTGGGGGGGCTGGAGGCTGACGGCGCCCTCCCTCGCAGGTGGGTCCGGGGCGAGCACTACCGCTACAAGTTCAGCCAGCCCTGGGGCAGGCACGCCACCGACGGCAAGTGGTGGATCCGGAGGAGGCTCGGCCCCTACTTCCCCCCTCTCAGCCTCCGCGACCTGAAGGACTACTTTAGGTCCCGGGAGTGGCCGTACCCAGAACCAGAATAGAGGTGGCCCAGGCCTGTGCCCAAGGAATAAAGCAGGAGGCCGCGCCGGCTGCTCTGAGTGAGGTTTCCGTACCCAGTGCCGCCGCCCTGTGCCTACATGACCAGGAAAGCAAACCCGGTGAGGAGGGGGGCGTGCGGGGAGCCGCCGGGGTTTCCTAGTCGATTAGAGACCCCAGGCGGGGTGGGAGGGCCACTGGGGTCCCCAGTGTGATCAAGTTCGTGCACCTACACACCCCACTCCGGACTGGCCTGGGCCCTGCTTTCCCCCTCAGTGACCAACGTGCAGAGCGTGGACAGAAGCCCTTTGTCCTTCCTGGGGTGGGCCGCCCCTGCCCCTCCTTCGTGACCACATCCCCCCAGTCTCATGCGTGGGGACTCCTGCTCCCTGACCCGCAGAGGGGAGGGGGGGCTGGGCGCTGGGGTGGTGGGGATCCCCATGGCCACGATTCTGAGGCCCGGCTGTCACAAGTTAAGGTAGAGTCATTGTTTTTTGCTTGGCGGTCTTCCGGGGCCCTGCTGCCATGAGAACTGGGTGCGGCCCAGAGCCTTCACTGCACGCATCAGCGGTGAGGGAGGAGAATGCCCCCGAGGGGTGGTGCCCTGCTGGACAACAGCCAAGCACTGCACAGCACAGCCCCCACCCTGGTCAGCCAGGCCGCAGGATCCTGGGGAGTTGGGGGATCCCCACCCAGCGGGCAGCAGGCGGGGGCACTGGGCGGCCCTCCCTTCCTCCGCCCCACCCCTAGCCCTGATCGTCCAGGGCACAGGCCGCACTGTGGAGGGTCCGGCTGGAACGAGGTGGTTCAGGCCAGGAGACCGAGCCGAGGTGGGTACAAGTGCGGGTCTGTGTGAAGCCCCTGCCTGCCTGGGGGCTCGCCCAGGTGCCAACAGAGAGGCCGTGTTCCTGCTCACAGGGAAACAGGCGCCCTGTGTCTGTCTCGGGACAGACGGGGCCTCAGACAAGGAGCCTGGAGCCAGCAAGTCTGCCCGCGGCAGCCGCATGGAGCTGACCGCCGGCTGCCGTGCCTGGGCAGCCCTTCCTGGGGGGCTCTGCTGACGGTGGGGGTGTGGGGGCACACAGGGGTGCCCTTGTGGGGCCCAGTGTGGGCAGGGGGCCTGAGGAGACGCTAAGCCTGGGCCGAGGAGGCACTCCACCCCCGCCCAGAACTACGGGTGGCCTCCCTGCCAGGAGCTGTAGGGGGAGCCTTGGGGGGTCCCCGTGCCTGCCAGCTGGGCTTGCCGCCACCCAGGGCTTGGGCAGGGGAGGCCCTGGGCTCAGAGCCCCTGACTGTGGGCTCCTTTCTGGACCTCAGTCCAGGCATGCCCTTCAATTGTCCCAGAACCCCCCAAGACACACACAGGAGTGATCCTTAGGCCTGGGGGCAGGGCTGGAGCCAGTGGCAGAACTGACACAGGGAGGCCCTAGGGCCAATCACAGGGGCCCCTCGGCTCAGCAGCACCCCAGCAAATGGCAGCCCCACACCTGTCCTGGGACAGAAGAAACGTGCATTCACCCCGAGGGACGTCACAGGTGACCCCAGATCCGGGTTGTGAGGGCGCTGTGGCTGGAGTGAGGTCTCTGCTCCCTGGCAAACAAAGAACCCATCAGACCTGCTCCTCCCGCAGCCCCTCACCCTTCCTGGGACTGGGGGTCCCCCACCTCCTGATGCGTCAGCAGACGGTACCAGCTCCGCCTTCAGTCTGTCCTGAGCCCACCCTCCCGTCAGAGTCAGACGGCATCCCTCCTCCGCTTACAGCCCTCCCAAGGCCCCTGCCTCACTGGGCAGAAGTCGGGGTCACTGCAGTCACCCCACCCACCCCCTCGAATGCTTTCCATCCCTCACCCCCCAGCCGCGTCGGGCGTGGGGGCCTTTGCACTGGCAACTCCCGGCGCCCACGTCCCTCAGAGCCACCGAGTCCTGCCTTCGCTGGACACCAGGCTGCCCCTGGTCACACTCCAGGCTGGCGAGGGCTCAGCCTGGCCCCCTAATACAGCACTTGATACGGTTTGCTGGGTCACCTGTCAACCTGAGGAAGAGAAGAGCCCAAACACTACTCGTGGGCGCTCCCCCGGCACCACCCTCCGCTCCCATGAGATCCGCTGTGTCTTAGTCAACCCAAGAGAACTTCTGCGGAGGGGAGGGGAGGGGGCTCAGGGACATGAGGCGAGCATTAGCCGTCTGGGTCTGAGGGGCCACCGCACGGCTGCACCCGGGCGCATCAGGGCCATTCTTCCTTCCACCCTTTCCCCACCAAATATCTGCCTGGGGAGGGTGCTCCAGGTGAGGCCCTCGGCCCTGTGGGGGAGCAGCAGACGCTGCGGGAAGCTGGGTGTTGTGGGACTCGGTCTGTGTGCTGGAGCCACTGCAGCCACTTCTACCCTGAGTGGGCCTAGGGCGCAGGGGACGGGTGGCCTCAAGGGTGGAGAGCGACGAGGGGCCGGGAATTGAAGATTGCTCCTGATCTTCCCGTGCGCACTCTCTTGAGCCGATGCCCTCTGGAAATCGCTGCCTGGCCAAGCCCGCTGCGCCAAGACCCCCGCCCCCATCTGGGGGCTTCTCCCTGCAGAGTGTTACACCCCCATGGCTGTCACATGTCTGGACGGGATGGCAGCAACACCCAGGCCACTGCATCACACCTGGGCCCCAGCCGGGACACTAAGCTGCAGAGCTCATCCCTGTGGCCATGCCGCATTTCAGAAAGTTCCTCAGCCCAAAAGGTGCGCAGGCACATGCTGAGTCCTCTGTGTCCTGCCCCCACTGCTGCTGGAAGACACGGAGGTGACGCTGACTCTCCACCTCTCCAGCACTGTCCACCGGGCAGTGGCTGTGCTCAGGTGACCCGCTGGGCCTGGCGGTCGGCTCTCTCCAGAGCAGTGGGCCCAGGCAGGGGCCTGTCTCGAGGGAGAGCCACCCTGCCTGCCCTTCTGCTCCAGCGCCGGGGCAAGGGGACAACTCATGTCGCACGTGGGGCAGGGTGTGGGCAAGCCTCCATCAAGCCAGGGGGGGCTCCAGGCGTCCCCTCCTTCGCCGAGAGGTTTTCACTACACAATGATTAAATGCATCTCAGCACGTGCTAGGCCAGGCCTGCACTGTCGACCTCCTTCAGATTAGAGACCTCTGGGTGCCCCCTTTGAAGGTCCAGGACCTTCGTTCCCAGGGCTGTCGTGTCTGTGTCAGGAGGGCCGGACGCTTGGCAGTCTTAGGCCACCAGGTTCTGGCTGGATGGGGTTGGCACGCCTGAGGCCTCGGGCTTTCAGGAGTGGATAGATCTTCAGATCAGTACGGTGCTGAGTTCAAGGATATTACAGATTATTAAAACTGGTCCAGGAAGAAACAGAAAACTGAGCGGCGCCTATGTGACCTGAGCGGTTATTGTTTGTAGCTTCTTCGATTTCCTCTATGATTATCCACGTTGTTCGCGGCACCCTTATACCTTCCAGATCTCTCCTGTCTCGGGGGCGGCCCCTGTCCATTCCTGAGGTTTGTTCTGGGCTTTCCTATCTTTTCTCCTTGTTGGTCTTAGCGCACCAGCTCCGGGTTCTTCAATCACCTCTCCTCTGGCTTCTGGTTCTCATACAGCGTGCTCTTAGCTTTTTCCTTCCTTCCACGTCCTCCAGGCTTTCATTCTCTGTCTTCTTGGGTTGCAAACTTCATTCATTCATTTCTGTCCCTCCTCCTGATTTCTAGGAAATGCAGCTAAGGGCCCTTGGCTGCATCTGCGGGTCCCATGGGATACTGTGGGCCTTGTCTGTGAATTCTAGAAATTCTGGTTTGCTCTTTCTCCCATCAGGTAGTAGAGGGGGATGTTCATTTCCATATGAAGGGATTTGGGGGCCATCTTTGTTTGTCTTGAATTGTACCACATGTGCTGGCCACTCCCGGCTCCCTGAGGATCAACGCCGCTTTTGGAAGTGACCCAGACTCCTGGGAAGGACGCTGTCTCCAATTCTGAGGCAGCTACTTGCATCCCTCTGCGGAGGAGTTCCCTTGCTCAGCTAGCAGCCTGACAGCCTGTCCCCCGAGTCCTTTCCCGTGCTGACCTCCCCGTGTGTCCTTGCAGTAGAAGGACACCACGGGACCTTCATCCTCAGGGATTCAGTCTCTATGCCACTGAGTAAGGTGGAACTCACTTATCAGGAAATCGACCTTTAAAACTCCTAAAGTCGTCAACATAATTGACGAACCTTCAGCTTGACTGACAAAAAGAGAGAAGATGCAAATAACTAAAATCAAAAAAGAAAGTGGGGGCATTGCTACTGTCCTTACAGAAACAAAAAGGATTATAAGAGAACTGTGCACAATTGTGTGCCAGTGAATCAGATCACCCAGACGAAAGGACAAAGTCCCAGAGACACAAACTACCAAAAGTGACTCAGGAAGAAACAAGAAATGTGAAAAGATCTGTAACAAGTAGAGATTGAATCAGTAATCAAATACCTCCCAGCAGAAAAATACTGGACCAGATGGCTTCATTACTGAATTCTACCAAGAATTTAAAGCATAATTCACACCAGCCCTTTCCAAACACTTCCAAAAAATTAGAAGAGGAGGGAACACTTCCTAACTCATCCTGTGAGGCCACTATCACCCTGATGACAAAGCCAGACAAAGACAACGATATCTTTTATGAATACAGATGCAAAAACCCTCAAAAACATACTAGAAAACAAATCTAACAGCGTATTAAGAGGATTTTATGCCATAACCAAGTGGGATTTATCCCGAGAATGCCAGAGTGGTTCAACATAAGAAAATCAATCAGTGCAGTAGACCACAGGAACAGAACACAGGAAAAACCAGGATCATCTCACCTGACGCAGAAAAGGCATCTGACAAAACCCAACACCCTTTCATGATAAAAACTACTCAGAAAACTAGGAATAGAAGGGAACTTCCTCAACATAATAAAAGGCATTTACGAAAACCCCACAGCTAACAACATGCTCAAGAGTGAAAAACTGAAAGCTTTCCCCTGGGATCGGGACCAAGACAAGGGTGCCTGTTTTCATCACTGCTGTTCAACATTGTACTCGAGGTCTAGCCAGAGCAATTAGTCAAGGAAAATAAATAAAAGGCTTTGAAAGTGGAAGAAGTAAAACTGTCTCTATTCACAGATGACATGATCCTACATGTAGAAAATTCCAATGATTCACAAAAAAAAAACCTGCTGGAGTAATAA